CGTAACCGACAGCATTCCAGCTCATCGACAGTAAGATTGATCGTTGGTGGCCGCACTGCTAGACGCAGGAACCTAAGACAGAAGGCCAAGACACGGATTAATTTGGAAAACGAAGAGAATCGCACTAGTAAGTCGTTTTCAAGTGCGACGGTATCTGTGGTAGTTGCGTGTGAGCGACGTTCTTCAGCCACGTCTTGGTCACTAAGATAGTCTGCTGGCCAGCTGTCGTATGGGGATTCCAGCCAGGTTGGACCACGCCACCACTGTCGCTGGTTATATAACTCCATCGGCGAGATGCCACGAGTGGCCAAGTCCGCTGGATTGTCAGAAGTGGGCACGTAATGCCACTGATCGGCCGGGAGCAACTCCTGGATAGCCGCTACTCGGTTGGCTACGAAGGGGGTCCATCGAGATGGGTGGTCCCTTAACCATGCCAGAACCACTCTAGCGTCAGTCCAGGCGTGTAAACTGCAGTTTTCCAAGCGCAATCCTTTGACTGTACGATGCAGTAGCCGTGCCGCCAGTAAAGCTCCACAAAGCTCGAGCCTTGGTATCGATACCGGCTTAATCGGTGCAACCCTGGTTTTGGCGACCAAAAGCGACGTTTGTATCCCGCCGGTGATGCTGAGACCACGTAAATAAACGGCGGCTGCATAGGCCCTCTCAGACGCATCTGAAAATGCGTGTAACTCCGTTTGCCCTAGAACACCAGTCCAACGTGGTATTCGCAAGTGATTCAGATCCGGAAGGGACGTAGCGAGCTGCGTCCAGCGTGCTCGCAAACCTGGTGGCAGGGTCTGATCCCAGTTGAGCGCCGCCATCCAGAGATCTTGAATGAAGATTTTGGACGCGACTATCACAGGAGCCGCCCAGCCGGCTGGATCGAACAGCTTGGCGACTTGAGAGAGAACGGAGCGTTTAGTTGGCTCTTTCTCCATTTCCAATGTTGGAACCGCCCTTAGGCTAAGAGTGTCTTCGGCTGGAGTCCAAATTACGCCTAAGGCCCCCACACTTTGGTTGACCGTGAACAGCCGCTCCGTCTGATCGCCGTCCGGGCATAGAGCAGAGTGCGTACCGGCCCACTTGCTCAACCGGAACCCGCCGGCCAGGAGCAAAGATTCCAATTGACCCTTGCGCTCGAGAGCCGCCTGGAGAGTGTTGGCGCCGGCAAATATGTCGTCGACATACGTATGGTGGCGTAATATTTCTGCACCTTCCGGAAAGCGGTGCTCTTCATCCTCGGCTAGCTGCAGAAGGGTTCGAATTGCCAGATACGGGGCCGGCGCCGTACCGTAGGTGACGGTGACGAGCCGAAAATCTTGAATCTCGGCCGCAGGGTCCGCCCGCCATAATATCCTCTGAAGGTCAGCGTCCTCCCGGTGGATCCGGATCTGCCGAAACATTTTGACGATGTCCGTTGTGAAGGCAAAGCGATGCAATCGCCATCGAGTCAGAACCAGCCAGAGGTCCGCCTGTAGCTTCGGGCCGGGTAAGAGGAGATCGTTCAGCGACATCCCGGAAGGTGTTCGGAAAGACGCGTTGAAGACCACTCGTATCTTCCCATTCGGATCCGAAGACTTGACCACTGCGTGATGCGGTAGATAGTACGGACAGCCAGCCTCCTTATCAGGTCCGTTAAGCGGTTCCATGTGACCTAGGACATGATAAGCATTCATGAACTCTGAGTATGCCTGTCCGAGCGACGGGTTACGCCTCAATCGGTTTTCGTTCGCCAGGAGCAGCCGCAATGCCCCGCGACGGGAGTCCCCAAGTCCCGCCGGCGGATTGCGTCTACGCGGTAGGCGTACAATATATCGACCTTCAGAGTCGCGAGCGTAGGTTTTCTTGAAGAGATCCTCACAGAAGGCCTCGTCCGGAGTGAGGATCCTGTTTGTGGAAAACTCTTCGAGCTCCCAGAACCGCTGAAGGTCTTGATGGAGGTCAGGCTCCACTGTTGTGTGAAGGCTGGCGATGTTACACTGCGTTGAGTTGTCTGTCGCCGAGAGCGAGCCCATCAACACCCAGCCGAAGATGGTTGAATGAGCGGCGGGTTCTCCCGGTGATCCTCGTTTGACTCCACCTTCGATCAACATCCCATAAATGTCTGCTCCCAGCACAGCGTCGACTTCCGCCGGCTTGTCGTAGCTCGGATCTGCCAACTGGATGCCGCTTAGATGCGGCCAGTCACCCATGCGAACCTGTCGGCCAGGAGTAAACGGTGTTAGTTTGGACATAACTAGAGCGTTGGGCAAGGCTATGCGTAGGGACGAGGAATGCCTGCTGCCGATCATGAGAGAAACGGCATTAGAAACTCGACCAGTGGTTACACCTTGCAGGCCAGAGACCGTCACGTTCACCTTGCGTCGTCGCAACCGCAGTTGCTGTGCGACGCGTTCCGAGACGAACGATGCCTCTGAACCGGAGTCCAAGAGAGCGCGCGCAGTCATTATTCTGCCGGAATCCGAAATTAAGTTAATTAGGGCGGTCGCGAGCAGCACCGTGCCGCTGGTGGCACTCGACAACGCGGCGACCTTTGTCGGTTTCGCGGAAACGTCTGATTGCTCCGGCGTCAGTGCCTCTTTGTTGGAGTCCTGAATTGAAGGCTGCAGGGGCGCCGCGTCCGCTGATCCGAGGTGCAGCATCGTGTGGTGCTTCTCGCCGCAGTGTCGGCAGCGGTTGATCGAGGGGCAGGCGGCCGCCGGATGACCTTGTCCGAGGCAATTGAAGCAGACTTTTGTTTTCCGCACCTGTTCCCTGCGCTGCTCCGCAGAAAGAGTCTTAAATTTGCTGCATGATCGCAGCGGATGACGAACCTTGCAAAGGACGCACTGAGGTCCTTCGCTTGTGCTTGTAGAGTGAGATGAGACATCATCTCTCCGGGCGTTTCGCTTGGCCTTGTTGCCACACGCAGATTGGACAAGCCGAGGATTGGCGGCGTCCAATGCGCGGGCACGAGTCAGGAGAAAGCCCTTCAGATCTTCAAAAGACGGGAACTCGCGACTTGACTCCTGTGAGGATTCCCACAGGAGACGCGAGGACGAGTCTAATTTTTCCACCAGGATGTGAACAAACCAGTCGCCCCAATGCTCCACAGGGCGGCCCAATGCCCGGAAGGAGCGTGCTGCCTGGGTGACCGTGCTGAGAATTCGGTTGATTTCCGAGGCTGATGTCTTAGTGATCGGCGCGCAAGAAAGTAGCGCTCGCATGTGGTACGCCAAGAGCACCCTTCGGTTGTCGTATCTTGTTATCAGCTCGTCCCATGCCGACGCATAGCTCTGCGAAGTCATGTCTAGACTTGAAATGACTGCTGCCGCCTCGCCAGTGAGACTAGCCTTGAGGTACTGCAACTTCTGAATGGGCGCAAGTCCCTCCACGTCGTGCACCAAGGATCTAAACAGATCTCGAAAACCTTCCCAGGCTAGCTGGTCCCCGTTAAACGTGGGCAGATTGATTTTTGGAAGCTGTACTTGCCGGAGCACAGCGCCAGCCTCGGATTCTCCTGTGGTCGGGGCGGCCGTTTTTGTGGTCTGAAGGTAGGCGCAGATTCTAGCCTTGGCAGTGACGTAATGTTCCTCTGTTGAGGCGTATACATCCTGCTTCATATAGTCCGTTAACTCCACTCTCTCCGTAATCAACAGTGCATCGTGTGAGTCGAAAAACTTCGTCCAGTACGACTCCAGCAACTCTAGTCGGGTGGTAAGGTAGGCACGAGTCATCTTGTCCTTTCCGGCTTTGACGAGGTTGTCCCAAAAACGTTCGATGTAACCGGCGGTAGCTAATTGTTTTTTAATTGCCGCATCCATGTCGCAGCACAAGGTACCGACTACCGTACTTTATAATGAAAGAGAAATGTTCGTGTACGCGCGAACAGCTGAGCGCCGAGCTCGTAGGCGCGGAGCACGCGGAACGCGGAGCGGCGAGCTCGCAGGCGCGGGGCACGCAGAGCGCGGAGCGCCGAGCTCGTAGGCGCGGAGCACGCAGGGCTCGGGCGGCGTGTTCGTAGGCGCGGAGCACGCGGAGCGCGGGGCGGCGAGCTCGTAGGCGCGGAGCACGCGGAACGCGGTGCGGCGAGCTCGTAGGCGCGGAGCACGCGGGGCTCGGAGCGGCGTGCTCGTAGGCGCGGAGCACGCGGAGCGCGGAGCGCCGAGCTCGTAGGCGCGGAGCACGCGGGGCTCGGACGGCGTGTTCGTAGGCGCGGAGCACGCGGAGCGCGGGGCGGCGAGCTCGTAGGCGCGGAGCACGCGGAACGCGGTGCGGCGAGCTCGTTGGCGCGGAGCACGCGGGGCTCGGAGCGGCGTGCTCGTAGGCGCGGCACTCGCGGGAAACGGCACTGATCTCGCCAAGACACGGTTTCCTCGTACCGCGTGCGCGGATGATGCAATGCCCGAGCAGCACGTGGCCCCTTTGCGCGGATGATCCGCGGAGATTAAGTGGTTGTGTGCGCGCACAATTCACCTTAGGTCCACCAAAAAAAATGAGTCTTACTTACCGGAGAAATCCTTATTTTACTCAGAGAAGGTCTTACGATGCCGATCCGATAGTGGCTACTCATCCGGCTCGAAGGACCAGAATGTTCGTTGGTGGCTCGCCGTGCGGTAGAATGGCCGGTTGGAGCCAGCGCAACTGTAGTTTTCGGATGTACCAGATCGGATGGCGCAAAAGAGGAGCAACTTTTCGTTTGTTTCACAGCACTTTATTTGTTATCGTTCGATACAATTCTCAACCCCTGAACACGGCGGTGCGAATTGTTATAACCATAAATTTTACCCGGGGTGCCGAGCCGAGCCGGGCACAAAAATACGCGTTTCGCAGAACGCGGAGCGCATGCGGCCTTTTTCGTGAAACGATTCCGCAAGACTGCCAGTAGGCCGCGCTTAGGAATGCAAAAGCTCTCCCCCGGCCCGAGCTACTCGATCCACCCAGAGCGGGAAAAAGCTCAGCACCAGCGCGACCGGGACAACAACTCTGTTTGGACAGAGAGCAAAAATCGGAGCTGACGT